ACACACGCTTGTCAACTTAGACCCAGTAGGAAGCTTGATGAGTTCCTACGTGGTCCCCCCTGAATTTTGGGCTTGGGGCTTGGGCTTTCCATCTGACATCAGAAACGAACCGCAACCCAGGTGGCAGACTTCGAATACTGAAGCCTGACATTTGCCTGCGTGCAACTCTGCTAATGTAGCCCAGATAATGAAACTGTGATTTCGACCTTTGCCTGCAACTAATAAGCACAACAACTGAATGATCCCGGCATTTTTTCGGTCTTTTACGTGGTACGGCCGCTACGATGCCAAAAGAGTCTTGACAAAAGTTTCAACGGGTTCCTACATGGTAGGCCGCCAACATCTTGTTTACAGGGACTCTTAATTTGGGAACCCCAAAATCCTAAAGCTAAGACCCTAATCTAGACCCATCCCTAAATCCTTTTACATCTCAACCCGCCTATCTCTACTCCCTAGACCCTGATGCCTCAGTCCTAAGCACTCACACCCCTAAACCTAATCCTTAAACCCTAAACCTTGACCCCCAGGCTGCCCCACAGCCACGCCGGTGGCGGATCGGGGGAATTGGTAACCTTCTTGTCTCAAACGCTTGTACCTCCACGACGGTTTCGAATGGGTTGGAGGCTTTAGGACCCAAAGCATCGTGTGCCAGCATCAAGCAAACAATCTTGATTGGTCTAACACCCTAGACCCTAAACATCGGGGCATGCCCTCCTTAAATCCCCCACCCAACACAAAGGCCTCGCGCACACCCGCTGCCTAAAACCTGAAGATGTAACTTACGCAGCTAAGGGACCCATAAGGAATCTAAGAAAAGTGTAAGGATCAAGGGGGTGCTATGGGAGGTCCCTGTAAAGGACATTGGTCGTTTCCAGAAATTGGTGAGCCCACCACACATAATCCTTACTCTAGGGACCACTTCAAAGGCACCAATGGAAGCCTGAATCCCCATAAACTGCGGAGTCCTTATCGTGGGTCCTATGAAGGCTGTTTTGTGCCCTAAGCCCTAAACCCCTAAACCCCAAACCCATAAACCCTTAACGCCTAGACCCTAACACCCTACTCCCTAGATTCCTAGACCCTAACACCCTAACCCTAGTTAATTTGAGTCCTATGAAGGGTATTTTGTGGACCCTAAAGCCTAAACCCAAAACCCCCTAACTGTTTTCAGTCCTCTGAAGGACATTTTGTGAGCTTACCCACCAGGGGCACGCGTTGAAAACAGGACGCATACTACCTTCATGCCTGGCAGCTCCACACGGTTTCAGGTTTGGGGTTTAGGGTTTAGAGTTTAGGGTTTAGGGCTTAGAGTTTAGGGTGCTGGGGGAGTGGATCTAAAGTTTTTGGGGTGAAATGATGTAAGGATCCTGTAGGTAAGTCTAGAAGGAGAAGGATTAGGGACTTCATCTTCTTCGATGGCCAATTTGGGAAACGGAATCTTGATCGGGAATTGCCCTGCGAAAGGGCCGATCAACTACCATTTACTTACTGGTTCTTACTATGGAATAGAGCCTATATTCCAATATTCCCTACTAACCCGAGTTATCTCCTCCACCTTTTTTAAAGCCCCCAACCGCCCTAGTGTCGAATATTCCCCATTGTGGTATACTATGTTATATTGGGAATATCGAATTTGAGGAGGCGTGCGTGGGGAATTTCAATACAGGGTATAATGAACACTGTAATTCATATTCCTCAAGGGGTCGAAATTCCGTGATGGGCGTTGGTGTACTGCGCGGCTCAACTTTGCGTGGGTGCCTTAAAGCAATATCCAGTTCTGGCTTAAACAACCCGCAGCTGTTTTCGGGGCCCTTGTTTAATGTCAAGTTTGCAAGAAAATTCGCAAAATGGGAATCCTGAAGCTCCAAAGCTAAAGTAGTTTTGATTTGGAAAAGGAATGGCTTTAGCTTCCTAAGGCTCAAGAGGTCCTACTACTTACTAAGCCTTCTAAACCCTATCCTAAAAAACTGGCACGAGTACAACACCTATTACTACTAGAACCACCAGCTGACCAACTCCCCCCAAATTGTTTGGGGGATGCCGTGTAGAGAAAGTCATTCCCAATGGTTATAGGGGGAAACACATGCAAAGGCAAGTCCCACATGAAGGATAGGTTCAACAACACCCCAGAGGAGCTCAGCTTCTAAATCTGCACAAGCGGGGTCGATGTTAAAGAACTTAGACCAAGTTACCATAGTCTGGCCTTATGTTAAATAATAGGGTTTCCTTGTTGTTGTACATTAAAATCCTTAGCAGCAACCCAGCAACTTCATCTTCGGGGGAACGCAGGATCAGTCAACCAAAGATTGGTCTGGCGACTGTCCAATGGGTGGGGGTCTTTTAGGGTTCTGGGTTTAGGATTTCGGGTTTAAGGTTAGGGTTTATTGGGAATGGATGCCGAGAATTATCCGTAGATAACCCCCGATGATAATTCATACCGACATTCACCCTCCCACTGCCCCCGAAGCATCAGTGAGATTTCGAAGAGCCTTCGGTTTCGGGGTAAACGTATCCAGTTGCAGTGCTCCAAGGTTGGGCTCGATGTTCCAGTCAAGGAGTAGGAGCAATCTCATCCAGCGGGCTGCCAACTTCGGCACGCGCAGCCAACATGACATCAAAGTGGTACCCTAAACCACAAACCCACTAGGACAGCTCTCTGCTGGGCAGATCGACTGGCCGACCTCTAGAAGGGCCATCGGACCGGTTGTGTGATTCGAATAAAATCCCCATATACCCCAGATTCTATCTACTTTTAAGGGGGGCTATAGGTTGCGGCTATAAAGCCCGCCACCTAAGGTGTGCGGCAAGGCCCCCTGCAGAACACGACATAGCGCAGGACTGCTGGATTGACCAGTTTCAGCAGCTCCTAAAGTAACCCTACTTCTAGAAGGCGCAAAGCCCTAGACCTGAGTGATGCCTCGCAGCATACTTTGCGTCGAACCATGTGAATACTGTTGTCCCGACATGGTCCCCGACCTGACACAGTGGCGAATCTCCTACGGTTAGGCATTTCCTCTTGGCCAACGACGTTGGGTGTGCGGCGGGTCCCCTAAACCCGAAATCCTGGACCCTAACTGTCCTCGAGGAAGGGGCCCGGCTCAACGCGAGCCGCGACAGCACCCGCTACGCACGCCTTTCTTCTCATCCTGAAACCCTGAACTCCAACTGCAAAGAACCTCAACCCCTAACCCCAATAATCTAGGATTTAGGGTTAAGGAATCTAAGGTTTAGGGTTCTGAGCTCAATATCCCTGACCCAAGAATTGCGACTCCAAACAAACGTGCCGGCCGCACAACATGAAGGCATCCACGCTCAGCTGGAGAATTTCGAGGACCTCCCGCGGCTGCTTCGGGATTGGTAGATTTGGAAGGGGCTTACAGGAATAGATATGAGCTGTAGTCAACATTCCTAGTATCCCCCTTAATAAGCCCTATAAAACTCCCATACATAATCCACCATACAACCCCCTTTTAAGGAGTTCAGGCTCTGGCTTATATTGTGGTAGATATTTAGACATGTGGCTCATCTAGGACAACCCTACGTAAACCTTCGGGGCCGCATTATGCAGGTTATCCAAGGACCATAATTCTGACAACCCCACATACAGGGATACTATGAGTAGAAGGCATGGCCCTAAGCTCAAAACCCTAAACCCCAAA